AACTTACTTACGTGCATCGAAGGCATGAACGCTGTGGTACTCTGGGGCTTTTAATGACTAATGCAATGATTGTCACATTTACCTTTTAAATAACTTTTCAACTGAAAAATCTGGTGTACAAATTGGGAATGATTTGGGAACAAATCCGTAATTATATTTTTAGGCATGTAAATACAAATACAGTGAAGGGCTAATGTTTCATTTGCTGAAGACTGGTGTTGCATCTAGCTGATGGCATGGAGATACTTTCTCTCTAAATAATAAAATAAGTAATTTTGCAGGAGGTTTCACAAAAAAACACAATTCAGCAACTCATCAACAACTCATCAACAACTCATCAACAACTCAACACAACGTCACAGAAAAAAGGTTATAATCGGTGATGTTGGTTTACGGCCACCTCTCCTCAGCACCTTAGCTCCTTAGATGCTAAAACACTGTGAGCCTGAGGTGGCAGCTGCGCATGAATATGTCACTGTGAAGTTAATCCAGTGTGATCCATTAATAAGTATATCTGTCACCAGGAGAGGCAGTTGGTTTCAGCCGACAAAAAGTGGCTGGAGGGGTTAAAGTGGCTGACCCACTTTAACCTGGGCCTGATTAGTAGCTGCAGTCCTCTGGTTTATAGCCGAGTGTATAAGGATCTAAAGACACACGAGACTCAGAGTGTCAACATGCTAATGCATTTGTGCTATAAAAAACTATTCTATGGACTTGTGTTATCTTTTTCTGGGGGCTTTTCAGGTTTCTTATTGTTTTAGTTCCTTCAACGAAGACGGTGATGATAATTGTTTTTCACATTGTAACATTGTTTCAGCCTTACAACACTCAGTGAGAAAACCGCTGAGTCAGGAACCTGAAAGTCCCATTAGCAGCAGAAGTAGGGCAGCTCTTATCAGTTGATAAACCAAGTTACACGAGTTGCATCTCAAGCTGATTGAGTGATTTACCATCATGTTAAATAGGTTGCTGATTATTGAAATGGTTATTTGAAAGTAATTTTAAAGATTATAAAATTCATTTTAAAGTAATTCCGACCGTTAAATATGACCATCTCTGCCAGCCAGATTCAGCTCTTTTTAAATGGGGTGCTTTCTGGATTTGTTTTGTTTTGTCAATTTTCCAGTCAGTCACTCTATCACTGTTATTCAGAAACTGTTTGACAGCAGTCATCAGGATTATCCATGAATAACACCTTTGGTGACAGTGGGAGGGAAAAACTCCCTGGTAACAGGAAGAAACCTCCAGGCACTGTGACTGGAGTGAGGGGAGGATCAGGAGCTGCTGAAGAGAACCAGAGATTGATAATAACTAATGATTAAATGCAGAGTGGTGTATAAACACATAGTGAGCTAAAAAGGTCAGTGAAGAAGAAACACTCGCCAGCAGCACTGACCTATTATAGCATAAGAGAGGATTCAGGGTCACCTGATTCAGCCCAAATACATGTTTTATCAGAAGTTTCCAGTTTTAATAAAGCTCTCATTTCCATGTGCTCTATAAATTACCTATAGGCTTGTCTTGAAGAAGCTGAAGGCGTCTGCTTTTAAATACCCTTGGATGTTCTAATAGGGTGATATGGCACTACAAGGTCATTAAGATAAGATAGGGCCTGATTATTTAAGACCTTGTATGTGAGGAGCAGGATTTTGAATTCTGGATTTAACAGGAAGCCAAAACAGGAGAAATATGCTCTCTCTTTCTAGTCCCTGTCAGGACTCTTGCTGCAGCATTTTGGATTAGCTGAAGGCTTTTCAGGGAGTTTTTAGGACTTCCTGATAATAATGAATTACAGTCGTCCAGCCTGGAAGTAATAAATGCATGAACTAGTTTTTCAGCGTCACTCTGACACAGGATATTTCTAACTTTATGCAGACTGCACAAATTTAAGAAAACCCACATTTGTTTAATATATGCATTAAAGGACATCTGATCTATGTTGTATGGCATTCAATGCAACTGAAAGTCTGCATCCTCATTGAACAGATTTTTCTTCAGACTAATACAACAGCCTTATACGTGTGTAGTAGTGAGTAACCTGTGCTCTAAAACCCTCAACTGCAAGTTGAAAAAGAGCATTATTATATTGTTTTTCTCAAAGCGCTAATTAGCAGATGGTCCTGGTAGACACGTCTGTAGCCTACACAGGGTTAAATCCAGATCTCCTGCAGGTACTTTTTCATGGTATGATACTAATCTGTACTATCAACAAAAACAGAGGAACCGTGCATGTCTCTGTGGTTTATGTCGCACACACATGTGCACAAGACTTCCAGTAGCAACTTTTCAGCAACTGTCAGTGGCTCTAAACTGCAGCACAATGCTTTCTCGTCATTTAAAGCTCTAACTAGCACCATCTACAGTCCAAAGCACTGTGTTACATGCTACCCTGTCACACTTTGTCAAAAATGCTTTCATAATTCTGATTTAACCATTGTGGCAACAAGTTATAAGATAAGATAAGATAGAACTTTATTAATCCCTCGGGTGGGTTCCTCTGGGAAATTCGATTTCCAAAAAGCACACAGCAACGACCGAAGTTACAGTTACAGAATTGTTATATATATATATACACACACACACACACACATATATAAATACAGAGACAAATATAAATAAAATATACGAAGGGGATAAATAGAATAAATAGGAATAAAAAATAAAAATACAAGTGAATTGCACATTTCAAGTATGTAACAAGTTATTTAATGAGGTGCTCAAATAAAGGTTCTGGGATTGTAGCTTCAGCAGGAAATAAATATGCTTTGCACATTTCATTTGATGTTGAGACAAAACTGAGAGAGTCTCCTTTATTTCAAAAAGTTTCATTTTCATTGTTGTTGTTCTTTTGGCTGCTCTGTTCAGCTGTGACCATGACAGGCCCCCAAGGATTTTAAGACCACGTTTAATGCTGGGCACACTGTGCGATTTTTTCAGTCGCGCGATTCAGCTCCTGCTCAAACTGTACGGTTGACTCGCAGGGGTTAGAAGTTCATAGGTCACGATGCAGGGTCTCACACTATACGGCCCGATGCTCTGATGCGACCTGAGTGCTCACACTGTGCGTCCATAAAATGAAGGTTATAACAGAAATTCTGTCGCTCTCTCTCTGTCTTTCACTCACACAGACACACCACCACCATCAACTTTGCTAAATTGCTAATGAAAAACATTGATCAGGCAGCTGTGATTGAGCAGCAGTGTAAATCCAACTATTTTCACGGTTGTTGTGGTCGTGATAATTTTGTGAGGCCACATCGAAAAGGCTCGGATGAGCTTTCCAAAGTTCTACAAGTTGTGCCTCCATCGCTTGTGTCCAGATCACACGCTGCACTGCCGTGCTGCTCCGTCTTTTTCGCTGACATTTGTGTTTGCGCGTGCGCAGTGTGACAAACTGCGGTGACACCCTCACGACGGATCGCGAGGATTTCAACCAAGCGATTGATGATCGGGAGCTGGTCGTGAGGTGCCAATTGCTTCTCGTTACCCCACATATACTACACGATGCACGACGCACGATGAAGGCCAAAATCGGGCCGATCGCCAAAACGGTCGCACGACTCAAAAATCGGCTCAAAATGGGCCAAAAATCGCACAGTGTGAGCCCAGCATAAGGGGAAAAAACAGCAAACCTTTTACTTACTTTATACATGCAGTTTTTATGCACCAATAATTTTGAGAACCAGCAGCAGACAAACAATATTTCAGTCTTCATCCCAGTGTATCCAGGCTTGGTTGGGCTGTCAAGTGATCAGTGACGTCCGAAGCTTCAATCAGTACATTGCTGCTGCAGTATCTGATTCAGTGGTTTATACAGAAGTGAATCTTTAGTGGGATTTGTGCTGTGTTGTGGTGATTTTGTGTGAGAGATCGTAAACCCATGTGGGATATACTGAGAGACATGGAGCGAGCAAGAAAAAGAGGATGTTCTGCTGTATAAAAAATGAATAGAATAACCTTATGTGTTGTTTTTATGATATTAAACAGAAGCTGTCATTTCAAGTTGTAGATGCAAGCTGCTCTTCACGCAACTTTTGCTTTTGGCCACAAGATGGCACCAAAGAGGACTAACAGAACACAACACTAACACAAGCTTCAGTGCTTCAGACGGCTTCATTTGGCCGTCACTAGATGCTGACGCTATATAAATAAAATGAAATGAACTGAACTAAAAGAGGCAGTTTTACTGCAGTAAGAAAACACTTAAGTGATCTTAAAAGAAGCCATGGCTCTGCAATGATTCAGACAACATACTGTATACACAGAAAAGGGGAGAGAGGACGTTCCCAGGGAACACTGCTGACTGATGAGACTGATCAGTCAACCATTTCATTTCCACTGCATCTTACATGCCCCCACATGCCACCCCTGCTGCACATGTAAGCTGTTTTCACCTCGGATCCATTTTTACCTTGTTAGCCTCTTTATTACAGTTGAATCATGACCACTGACCTTAACCGAGGCAGGTGAGGCCTGGAGTTCTTTAGATGCTATTGTGGATTCTTTTATGAAAAGAGATGAGTGGAAAAAGCTCCATATATCATACATATGATGCATACTAAGTCAGCTGATCAAGCCCTAACTTTAAGCTGTATCAAAAAAAGTTTGAAGCCTAACCTTAAAAGTAAAGAAGGTGCCTGTCTCCCAAACCCAAACTGGGAGCTGGTTCCAGGGAAAAGGAGCCTGAACGCCGAAGGCTCTGCCTCCCATTCTACTTTAGGAACAACAACAGGTCAGTAAGCAGGGCTCCAACACCTTTGATGAGCCATAGTTTATGCAGTGAGACACATGATAAATATGCTATATGTGTCGTTATTGTCTGTGCCATGTGGACGTCCTCTTGTCAGTATTTATTTGTTGGCTTCTCTGTTATTTGACATAACAGCAAAGAAATAGCCCGTTTGTACACAACGAGGCTTATTCTGATTTAAAGGACTTTTAGAAAAGTCCTGAAAACTATTAAAAAGTGTTTTCCAAAAATGTCTCCTGTTGCAACAACACATATTTATATTTTTCAAATAACAAAAGTACAATTTAAAGTCAAAAAACTTTATTTTGTGTTAACATCCAACATGAATACATGAACATTTGCTTTGCATTACAACAATAACAATAGTTGCAGTAAAAGACAGCTATCATTGTACTCTTTTAATTATCCCAAGCATTGCATTTTAAGTTGCATTTAAGCTGTGCACAATACAAGTGATTTTACATCTAAACTCAATGGAAAATTAAAGCTACAGCTTTTTACCATCATTTGAGTTTACAAGAATGTAAACATTATTTTTTCACTTAAAAAGTAAAATGTTATTTTGGTGTTTTTCATCAGTCGTCAAAGAGGTGAAAATGATCATCCCCACCCCGCTCACTAGGTAGAAGCAATAATATTATTCTAACGCTTCTAAGCCAAAGAAAAATCTGCCCTGCACACGATAGCTCCACCATCAGCGTTCAAATGTTACACACGATGTTTTCACATGGACCTGAAGCTCCGTCCACCTTATGAAGCATGCCAGGCCACGGCCTCAGCATTTCTCTCCTCCCCCGTTCACATTGGACAGTCTGAAAATGGAAAGCATGCAGATGTTAATGGAGTGAATAATTGTCATTGCTTTCAATGGATAGTATGCAGCAGAGCCTGACAGCTACGTGGAAGGAAAAGGTCACATGATTTGTCTGTGACACGAGAGGCTTATGGAAAGATTTAACCTTTGAAGGATAAAGATTTCTGTCAGCCTGACATATTGTGTTTCTCTTGTTGATCTTGAATAATCCTTTACACCACTAAGACTTTCATGCCATTAGTACTCTTGGACTGTTAACCATGAATATGTGCATAAATATACTACTACTTTATGCCTTAACCGATAAACAGGCTAAAACACTGAGAAGTGATTGGAAAGAAATAAGTGGGGCAAACTGAGGTCAAGAAAGGTTTCTGCAAGGTTGCTGTAAGGCTGTCAAAGTGGAGAAAAAACCCTACAAAGTGAAAGAGTTCTCTTTACAGTTGTTACAGTATCAACAAGAGAACTACTTTCTGGAAACCAGGCAGCTGAGCTGGGACGGCACGTGGAGGATCCAGCATGCAACACTGGCTGCAGCTCAGGTGGCAGAGCAGGTCAGCCACTAATCAGAAGGTCGGTGGTTCGATCCCCGGCTGCTTCCTGGCTGCATGCCAAATGTCCTTGGGCAAGATACTAACCCCGTGTTTGCCTACTGGTGGTGGTCAGAGTGGCGCCAGTGTCCAGCAGCCTCGCCTCTGTCAGTGCGCCCCAGGGTGGCTGTGGCTACATGGAGCTGCCATCACCAGTGGATGACTGGATGTGTAAAGCACTTTGGGGTCCTTAGGGACTAGTAAAGCGCTATATAAATACAGGCCATTTACTGAGTTTCCTGATCCTGCACAGCCACAATAATTTGTAGCTTTGGCTGAAATTTTAAAACATGCTAGAAACAATTTTAGAAACATCAATTTTGTTTGTGCAGAGGGCAGAACACCCCATGGGGAGCCCGAGCACACAGGAAGTGATTTTCCTAAATAGCATGGTAGAAAAACGTTTCCATGTCTCTGAAACTGCTCTGGACGAGGAGCGAAACATCAGTGGCTCGCAGCTGATAAATGCCTCGAGGCTAAAAGAAAACACAAAACTGCTTTACTGCTTTTTAAACAACCCGTGCAACGTCATGGTTCAGTGCCTCGTGTTTGCTCTTTCATAAGTGAAACTGCAATATTCCACGTGAAAAATTAGAACCAGTTACCTTCTGTAAGGCAGTTAGCCAATGACTGATGATTCATACCACAGAGTCACACTCTTTGCATCAGAAACAGTTCATTGTGTTGCAGTCAGGTTGCTGTGATACTACTAATTAGAAATAAATACTAATCAAATTCCCGATAAAGACAAAATAAATGAATAATGTTCTGACCTGGAAGTAGATGATGATGATTAAGACACAAATGATTGCGATCACCAGGACAACCACAGGAACACTGACAGGTGCCGTGTTATCATCATCTCCCTCTTCTTCACCCTGGTGCTGACTTTGCCTCTGAGTTTCCTGCACGGGGCAGCTGGAGCTGTCTGTGAACGCAGAACAGGAAACGTAAGACTGAAAAAGTGATGTGCACTCAAAATTTCAGCTCTGTGAATAAACATGGCAGTGCGGTCGCCTCACCGAGGACATGAATGAGTGTGCCATTGCCAATAAGCCGCAGGTACGGTGGTGGGTAGAAGATCTGTATTTCACAGCGATACATATCTGTGTCAGTGGCATTCAGTCCAGAGAGTGTCACCTCCACAGTGTCATGTGTGGTCTCAGCAGTGCACTCCACCTGAAATGTACAGGACATCATTGTACCTCAACACTCCGTGCACAAATTTCACACTTTGTATTTTGTATTTCAGTCTAATGTCTGTGCCATTTGTAAGAGTGCAATCTTCAGTTTAATGTATCATATAATGAAGAAAAAGAATATTTATGGAGGAAGAAATATGCATTTGTTGGACGGGATCTGGATTCTCAATGTTTGAGACCTTGTTCACTAAAGACGTCTCATGCATGCAGTTTGCTGAGCACATGAACCACCTTCGTTTGGTAACTGAGGGTAAATTAAGGGTGTAGTGAAAGTGGGCTTCTTCAGTTGTGAGCCATGATATAAATATGTTTATATAGCGCTTTTCCACTCTGAGCACTGAAAGCACTTTCATAACTTCATTCCCACGAGCACTGTTTTCTCTGCTTTCTAACATTCACACACCAGTGGATGCATCGGAGGGCAACATGGGGTTTAGTACCTCGCCCAACGATATTTGGCATGCTGACTGGAACAGAAGGAGGTGGAACCACCAACCTTCCAATTAGTAGGTGACCTGCTCGACCACCTGAGTTTTTAAGCATAAAGTGTTATCTTGTGTCACTAGCAGGTCACAGTGGCAGATTCCTGAAGAAAACTCAACCTTAACAGGCAAAAAAGCACAAAAGCAATAATTACCTGTTCTTTTTGCTCCATACGTGTCTCTCTCTGGTCCGTGAAGTTAAGGATGGAGAAGCAGAGTTCTTGGTGGCCATGGAGGCCCTTCAGCACAGTGACTCTGGCCTCCTCAGGGTATGGGTATTTCAGGCTTTGTGGATGAATAACACACTGAATCTGTGCCACACCATTGGTGCTGACCACTCTGTAGGGCTGGGTCACTTTCGTAGCTGGCGTGAGAAAAGGTATAAGTGACTATTAGTAGTAGCAATGAAGAAGCAAATACATTACTATCAGCTAAAACCATTTACATATCAGAGTCCAGTTCCAATGGAGCACTCAAAGAAAGAAACGTATATATAAATCTTTTCATATAACGACAAATGAGCTAGCACAAGGAAATAATAAAATTATGGGAGCAAATTCTGGGTTTTGTAAGCTTTGTATGGATTAAACAGACAGGACACAACCTTTGGAAAATCTCACAGGAGCTAAGACACGATGCTCTTCTTTCTGAGAGCTGAGGTGAGGATGAGTGTTTGGAAAGGCCGTCTGACTCCTCCAGTTCAAAAGTTATCAAATTTGAATTGTTGTTTCATTGGTTTTTCTCCAAGCCGAGTCCTTTCAGAGATTCTCAGAAGTTTGGCATTGACAAACTCAACATGCATCATGTTACTTCACCCCCTCCTGTTACTCTGTGTTTGAATGTCTATCGAGCTGATAGTTAAATTCAGCACCGACCTACTGAAGGCCTGCTGAACAGTGACATTTAATATACCTGAATTGTTTAATCCTACATTAGAAATTCCATGACTCTTTTATGTTTTTCATCACACGACGGTTCATGATGTGCTTGTTGAAAATTAATTGGAATACATTAAATTTGCTTGGCTCCTTTCCTGGCTAGCACTTTAAAAGCTAAAACCACATTACAAAGCCTTATAATACAGTTAGCTGAATTCACAAGGAGCAGTAAACTTCAGAGCCACAGCAGCAAAACGGTTCAGCTAAGGACAGCTGAACCATCTATCAAAAAGAAATGTTGCTGAAGATTCACTTTATGATCAGTTTTGTCATTCTGGTGGCAAAACGTCTGGATCCAAGGGTCACTCCACCTGTCAAATGAATGCCCGTTCTGTGATTACATCCTGCAAACTAAAGGCTTCAGCAGTCTTCACATGTATTTAATATTTTCCATGTATCCTGAAATGATGACTTCTTTTAAATACAGAAAATACCAAGCGCATGGTTCTCTCCTCTTCCACCTGACACCTGAAACCTTACATGTTTCACATCACTGATGCTGGGCTTGGCACTAGTTTTACGTTTTAAGTCAACAGTAAGTCTTAAACTTGCTCATGTAGGAGCAAAGTGTGTCTACACAGCTCCACCATTAAAGCTTCCAAGCTACTTTATATGTCTGCTCATGTGGAAATGTAGTCACTGTGGTACATGGTCCAGCAGCTAGTTAACATATGTTTGGTGTCCCAACGAATCCTGTCAGAACTGCCCTCAGGTTCTTCAATGTGCCCCACAGAACACAAAGCTTCACTGGTTTTGCATGACTGTGGCACCATTGTCTTTATCTGTAGTGCTGTTTAATCTGATTCCAGTCTCATTCGCTTTTCTTGTTCGTAATGAACTTAAAAATAATGTTTTTTAAAGTGTTACAAAAATCATCAGTAGAAGGCTGTTTATACTCACCGCTCCACACAGGCAGGCAGAAGCTAAGAGCTGTCAACACAATCCATCCCATCATACAGTGAGTCAGGAACATCCTACTGTATTTCACACTGCTACACAGAAAGCCACAGGCACTTAAAATGATCCTTACGCTGGCGATCACTCACACTGAGCAAATTTGACAGAAATACATGAAAATGAGTGAAACTCATCTTTATATTTCCTTACGGTGCTGTCATGGAAACTGTGCAGCAGCACAGGAAATGATGACGAGGTTTTGCCGGTAAGAGAGATGGCAACGTGGTTGTGGTTCTGCTGGAACACTGAGAAAAACATGAATTTCATTTTTCTATGATTTTAATGAACTAGTTTAATCCGGGTATAGCAGCATCCTCTGTCTGAAGAAAACAGAAGAAGCTGCTCAAAACATGAAAAAACAAAGAAAGGAAATCATGGTAAAAGATGACAGCAGTCAATTAAATTCTCAAGAAAACTTCAATATTAATAAGACAGAAAAAATAAACATGATGCTGTTTATGTTCTTTAAAGGATGTGAAGAGCGTAAGAATGTTCCAGAACAGCTACTGAAAACAAAGTAACACCTGCTGGCTCGGGAATTTTTACATCTCTTTCAACTCTGTGAATAATTTAAGATCTTTTGCATATGCTCATACAGCAAAATTCAGTGATTCAGCGCTTTATTCAAATATACACTAAATGCTCTGTTCACTGAAGCTTTTGTGTCTAATTCCAAAATCTGATTGTTTTTAGAGTTTTGTTGATTTTACATGAAGCGTGTGAGCGAGTCTCTGAGGCACAGTCGCTGATTGAGGCTTTGGCAGGTGAATCTTGGGTGGAAACTAACGTGCACAAATGACTTGTTCGTGTGGAAACTTTTGCTGGGTGAATATTTAGTTTGAATTCCTGTGACTGTTGAATTTTCCTTCCAAGTTTTAGATAACATTGCAAAATCTGTAAAACATAAAAACAAACCCTTACTGTTGTTTTTCACTGAGCCATTGCTAACATGATTTTCTGTCCATGACTCTTCCCAAGTTAATGAATATTCCTGAATACTTGTGTATTCTGGCTGAATATTTGATATTTTACATGCACATAGTCTTATTGTCTTTAGTTGCAGTTTAACTTCTTTTTATACAATTATCTCCTGTTTGAAACAACAAAACCGGAGGATCAAAACTTACTGGGCTTCACCTCAGATGGACCATTGTGTAGTGTCTGAAAAACCAAACCTCGGGCAGTCGCTCGTGAACTGGTGGCATCAAGAGGTTAATTCATCTTTATATGCTTTTAGACAAACAAAAACAAAACAAGGCAGGCTAACTAAACTAAACAGCAGAACACTGAGCTTTGTAGGGGAGTAGAGTGACTACACAAAGCTGTGAGTGGGATGTACAGTAGAAACTGTTTTTGTTTTCCAAAACTGTGTTGCCTCATCACAGCAGGATGGTTTTCTGCAAAAACACAGACAAACGTTGTTCTCTACTTAGGCGGGTCCATTCAGCTCCAAAATAACAGCTTAGTCTAGTCCAGGTTAGCACAAGTATATGTTTAAGTTTACTTTTTTAACCTGTGATTGAAGCAGCTTGCAGAGATCAAGTCCAAAACGTAATAACTCTGACTACTTTCAAGGCTAAAGCAAACTGTGTCACTAATTTGTCACATTTGTTCCTGTAAAGCTTTTAAAAGACTTTTAAAACAGCATTCAAGTCCTGCTTGCAGCATAATGCAGCGCATGATGCAATCAGCACCCACAAGTTCCCCACATGTTGTATTTTAACATTATCGCTGATTTGCTATTTCTCTCTGGAATATAACAATCATTTTCGTAGTTTCATTTATGCATTCCTCTCAGGCCTGCTGCACCTAATATGCAACGATAAGGTGCAAACAGTGGAAAAAAGCTAATTTTGCAAGTGCATTTTCAGATAGTTCACTGTGAAAGTGCTGATGTTGTGACATTCGGTGTCCTGACGTCACATCTGTGTTTTGCCTGGAAACACTCTGTGGGGTTAAACCCCGTTTTTGACAAAGCTGACTGAAGTTACAGTCAGCACTACAGTCACCCGGAAAATGGTGGTTTATTTCTGCTGCTGTCATTGTTTCAGGACGGTTTACTATGAAGCGCATGCATGTAATGAGAAGCCGTCAGCCCCTGCATGTGCAAAAAGCTATTGAAAGGAGATGGTTTCACTGTTTAGTTCTGCAAAGTGTCTTTAAAAAGGCCAAAGTTGCAAAAGCACGTGCTCATCTGATGTTCCTACTTTACACCGCGTAGACGAGAGTAATGATCTATATTGGCAGCTCTGTGCTCAGCTTCAGTAGATTGTGTTGATGCAGCAATTGTAACACGAAGCAAATGCAAAACTATCGAAAGCAGTTTAACAGCTGCAAAATCCCATTTGGTTCCATTTATCCAGTTTTTCGTTAAATGCACAAACGTCTCAGTGATATAAATAATAAACAGACGTCCTCCCGTCAAAGCTGCAGCGCTCCTCAGGCCCAAAACTGAGAGACACTGCTTGAAGCTCCACACTTGCACTTTGCAGCATCTCGACTGGCATGCATATATTTCTACTACTTTACATAAGATTATAAACTTCTCCATCACTTTACTTTCTGTTTTATCTTAAACACATATTTGAGTGGTATGGTGATGCTCTGCTTATCATGACAGCAATATGAATCCAGAGTACAGTGTTGCTGTTGGAGAGTTTAAATTGATCATGGGTGTGAGAGTGGAGGTAATGTAGCTTGTCTTAAGTGCTTTGAGAGGTAAGTAGAAAACTGATGCCAATGGGTCTATCCCTGCCCTTCCATCCTAAGACATGTGACTGTTTTGTTTCAGTGTTTTTGAATTTGTAGAGTTCGTTAACGACTAACGGACGACTGGTTCCAAACAAAGAAGCGTACCCAAGCCTCTCTGCCTTCAGCTCTCCACAGCTTTAAATCTTGTGTTCGTTTTCACCAATGTAATAGCTCAAAGTATGCAGTTGCTTTCTCCCCTCTTGTCTTTGATTCCTGCCGCTATAGTTATACTTACAGGATATAATATTTGCTCTTTTTGCACCGTGATATGTTTGCATGATTGCACATGAGCGATTTAGAACAGTTTGCACCAAATACAAAAGTGCAGAACTGCTTTAAATGTAAGATAAGATAAGATAAGATAAGATAAGATAAGATAAGATAAGATAAGATAAGATAAGATAAGATAAGATAAGATAAGATAAGAACTTTATTTATCCCGAGGGAATTTTTTTTGTCGTACACATGCTCAATGCAGCAGGAGAGACAGAGGAGCAGAGGAATAAGATATACAACATATACAATAAGAATAGTAGTAACAGTAATATACAGTAATACAAATATAATATCAAATAACTCTAACAAAGTAACAATATAACTATATCCTGAAAAATAAATAACTTAACTATCAGTACAGGTGATTCTTGACAGTATTGTGCAACTGAATAAAAGAGAGTAGCAGCGTGTGATGAAACATTCGATGAAATGCTGTTGGGTGATGTTGCAGGAGTGCTGGGAGTGGTGCACTGGTGCACAACAAGCCTGAAGAGGATAGCTGTTAATTGTACTATTTGTTTTCCTTAAATGAAGCTGTGACTCTGATGGAGCCAGTTCCAGGGCTCAGGCTGGTTGTTGCTCTGTCTTTATCTACTGAGTGTGCCAAAGAGTGTTTTAGACTTCCACCCATCAGCATTATTGAGTGGCTTTACTTTTTAAATAGATGTCTGCAATGAGAGAGAGAAATTCTAAATTACTGTACAGAAACGTTTTTAGGTGAAACCCATGTTTTTATAGGTTTCCATTAAATACCAATCAGCTCTGTTTACAGAACTCAGTAAAGTTCTTTTAGAGTCTCATAGAGAATGTAAAATATAATTATCTGATGATAATAATAATAATAATAATAATAATAATAATAATAATAATAATAATAATAATAATAATAATAATAATAATAATAATAATAATAATAATA